TGACGCCATTGTTCTTCAGTACTTTGGAGAGGTCCCTAACATCAGACATTCCCATCGCAATACGTCTTTTAATTTTCCAGCTGCAGGTGTCAAGCAGTGGTGTTGACTGCTGCTGGTGTTGACTGTGGAGCCAAGCAAACCAAAGCGTTGAACAATCTCAATTTCTTCACCATTGGTCATAATGCTGCCAGTCAGCCCAGGGGTAAGAATCTTTGTTTGCTTGGTGTTGAGGTTCAATCCATACCTAAGGCTGCAGTCCTTGATCTGCAGTATGCACTTCAAGTCCTCCTCAGTTTCAGCGAGCAGGATGTGTCATCTGCATAACACAGGTTGTTGATGATTCTACCTCCAATCCTAATGCCACATTTCTCTTCATAGAGCCCAGCCTCCTGGATAAACTGTTCTGTATCAAGTTTGAAAAGGTATCGAGATAGGACATATCCCTGACATACATTCTTCTCAATTTTGAACCATGCAGTGTTTCCTTGCTCTCTTCTGACAGCTGCCTCCTGGTCCAAGTATAGGTTTAGCATAAGCACAATCAAATGTTCTGGGATTCCCATTCTTCTCAGAGTCAGCCACAGTTTGTTGTGATCCACCTAATCAAATACCTTTGCATAGTCAATGAAACGCAGATAGACATAATCCTAGTACTCCTTGCTTTTGGCCAAGATCCATCTAACATTAGCAATAATATCCCTAGTACCACGACCTCTTCTAAACCCAGCCCGCATTTCAGGCAGTTCTCTGTTGATGTGCTTTTCCAGTTGTTTTTGTATAATCTTCAGCAGAATCTTCCTGCATGTGATAGCAGTGATGTTGGTGATTGTCTTCGAGTTGCGCACGACTCATAACGACCCTATGAACAAAAGGCCTGAAAGCCCTTCTCAGCTATCGACATTTATCAAAGTTCATAGAGTTTCCGGAGGCATATTATTTAAGAAGTGGATGCCACTCCTGCTTCCAAACCGATGTTGTTCAATGATATTGTTTGAATATCATTCAAACACTTTGTCAGGTCACCTTTCTTTGAAATGGTAACAAATACAGATCTCTTCCAGTCAGTCGGCCAGGTGGTTATCCTCCAGATTTCTTGGCACAACTTGGTGAGCATTTCCAGGGCAATGCCTGTTTGTCGAAATAAGTCAATTGGTATGCCATCAATTCCCAGGGCCTTGTTTTTTGCCAATTCTTTCAGAGCAGGTTGAACCTCTTCCTTCATCACTACAGGCTCTTACTCATATGTTGTTTCATGAAATTCTTCTGTGTCTGCCAATTCTTTTTTTGTTCAATGACTGTATAGTCTTTCTATCTTCTTTTAATGCTTCCTGGATCATTTACTATTCTACCCAAAGCATCCTAAGCATTGCAATTCAAGGCTAGAATTTTTTTTTTTCAGTCCCTTGAGCTTAAGAAATGCTGAGTGAGTTCGGCCCCTTTGATTTTTTTAACTCCAGCTCTTTGCACATTTCATTGTAATACTTTACTTTGTCTTCTCGCTCTGCCCTTTGGAATCTTCTGTTCAAATGCTTAATAACTTAATTTCTTCCCTTTGTTTTGGCTTCTCGGAACTCTAAGTACAATATTCAGAGTAGTTGTAGCATGTTATAATCCCATCAACAGTGTATGAGAGTTCCCACCTCTCCATGTTCTCTTCAACATTTATTGCTTGCTGCCCTACTTAATTTTGCCACTGCTACTGGGGTGAGATAGTATCTCATTGTGGTTTTTATTTTCATCTCTCATATTGCCAGAGATTTTGGCCATTTGTTCATGTGTCTGTAGGCCTTCACGATGTCTTCATTTGTGAAATACTACCTTAACTTGGGAGAGAATTATGCTGAGTGAACTCAGTTTTATAAGCACAAATACTGCGTAAGACCATTATTGTAAAAATAGAAGGATAACTAGTAAAACATGCGTGAAGATCCAAAGGGGGGAACTGGTGGGAGCAGAGGGGTGAGGATGTGTTTGAGGTGAAACCAAAAGGTTGCACATTTTGGTGGGTGGGATGGGGCAGAAGGAAATGGGAAAGATCTGGATGAAAAGACAGGGTAATGATGGGTGAGGTCCAGTGGTCATTAACTTTGGAAAACATAATGCATGTGAATGATTATATGAAACATAATATGAAGGATAATATGAAATACAATGTATACAAACTTTGTAAGCAAACCGATAAAAAAAAAGAAAAAAAGCAATCACAAATTTGTGCAATACTGTACAACATGTATTCATCTAGGACAAATGATCCTGAGTGACCTCAGTAACCAGTCAGTCACAAAAGAACAATTTTTATTTAAGACAACTAATATACAGACATAAGGAAGAGTTTACATACAGATAGACTCTATTTTGTATATTTAACAGGAAAGGGCAAGAGGGAGGAGCAAAAAATTAATAAACAGGTAAGGTGGGTGAAGAGAAAGACAATATTAAGTAAGGGTTTGATAAAACATGATCATTAATTACATTAATAATTTGTAATTTTATACAACAAAGTATATGGATGAGTGAATGAAATATGATAAGATTTGTAAACTTACACTCAAGTGAAAAAAAAAATAAATAAAAACTTCAAGTAAAGAAGCGTTGTTTAAGCCCTGAACTGAAGGACAATTAGGAGCCGGGCAGTTAGTGAGGGACAGGAAAACACTGCAAGTGCCTTGAAGCAGTGCAGTGGGAAACAGTTTTGGGAATATGTTGGCTTCTCTGTGAGGATGGGTGGTAGAGATGGTGGCAAGAGTAAAGAATAGAACAGCTGGAAATGGACCATGGCTTTTATTGCCCACCCCACATGGTACTAGAGAGCAGAGTGGGCTTGGATGTGTTCTTTGTTCAGGCTGTGTCTGAAATGGTTTGGTTCTCGTGAGCTGGGTGCTATTAAGAAGGCGGACTGTGTTTAATGGCAGCAAGATGGGTTCACAGATTTCCATTCTGAAGATCTTTCCCAGTGTTATTCAAAGAAATAGTACTGATGTGTGTGTGTGTGTGTGTGTGTGTGTGTGTGTGTGTTTACACATGTGTTTGAGAATATAACCAGATGAGGAATAAAGGGAAAAGTCTGCACGTACTAACTACCCAACTGCAACAGATTTTCACAGAAGCCTTTGTAAGATTTGATTCACAATAGTTATCTTTATTCCTATTATTGGATTATTGGACTTAAGTTTCTTTTAAGACTACATCCTTACAATTTGTTGACAAGTAAACAAGACATTTAAGAAAGGTCCATTTAGATAGGGCACTGTAGATCAGTATTGAACTATCAGACTTTGGGGGTGGTGAACTCCCACCATGGAAAAACCTCTAGAGAGCCTCCTGGGGATAGAGGTCTGTGGAATCTGGAACTGTTTTGGGATAGAAGCTTGAAAGGCTCAAAGTTCTCATTCCATTTAAAAGTAAGCAGCTCTACAATTACATAATACATTTCATCACTTACAATTTTTATCCTTTGTGTAGATGCACTCAAGATTTACAAAATATGAACTACATTTTTAACCGTTTCATTTACAGCACAGAAATTCTTTATTTCTGGGTGGGTCTACATCAGATATGTATTATGTATATTCAGTAACACTCTGAAAATCTTTACCAAATGCCATATGATTTTTAACAGGGAGCCCAAGGGCGGGGTGACCTGTGGGGAGGTGGCACGGTATCTATGAAACCAAGAAGGGCACAAAGTGGTCAGTGTGTCTATTTCTTCTGTGTCCTTCTCTAAGTTTAAGGTTTTGTCTCTTCGTTTTGTATTTCTGGAAACACAAAATGTGAAGTCAAGAACTCACTATTTGAGCAGACATGCTGTTTTTTTTAGGAAATAGAAGTGCATCATCAAGGTAATTTTAAGTAGATCACTTATGAATATGGAATGAAGGGATAGCATAAAGTTTTCCAGTTTATTGTCTCCATTAAAGAGCTCTTTGTGTAAAATACTCCATAGCAAAATTGCTTCTATATAAAGCAGTGAGTTTCATGTTGGCTTTGATGTAAACCTTTGATCTTGAAAGGATGATGTAGGACTAAATACAGAGTAAGGCTGACTTTAAAAAAAAAAAATTTAAAAAGATGGGCAAGATTAGGAAACAAAATTGCGGCCTGACCCTCCTTCCTCACCCCAACCGGGTTCATGCAATTTATAATGCGGTTGAGAAGAAAGCCTTCTGTGGGTTAACGGAAACACTTGTGGGTGTCGCTCACTTTTACAAACGAAAGAAACTTCCTCCCTCCTTGGCGAGGTCAGTGGACTCCCTTTCCCACCCTGATGCTCGGGGCGTCCTCTGGTGCGCTCTGTGCATAACGCGCCCCAGTTTCTCCGGGGTCACCTGCCCCCGACGTCACCCCACTCCCTGTTCTGCCGGACCGCAGAAAGACATCTACTCGCTAGCGTCTACTCCCTGGAAACTTGCGTTAGGAAAGTGCCTTTTTGTCTGCGACTGCCACCAGAACACTTGAGTTGCAGGCCCAGAGTACCGCGCCAGTGCCAGCGGGCTGAGGGTGCGTCCAGCGAAGCCCGCTCACCTGTGCTGCAGGTGGGCAGCTGCTGCCTTTAATGGGTGCCCAGAGATCCGGGGGGAGGGGTGGTTACAGAAAGGTAAGGCGTGTGCAGCAGGTATGTCCGCGCGTGAGAGGACGCGGACAGGCCCCTCCGACAGAGAGGCGTCCGCGACCCCAACAATACAGTCAGTCCAGTGGGCAGGGTGCCACGAGCAGAGTGACCTGCGGGAGGTGGAGGCTCTTATACCTTTAAGGCAGGCCCCGCCCCCGCCCCGCCCGGTTCGCTCCGTTCCCGGGAGCCTGTCCGCCTGACCTCCTGTCCTCCTGTCCACCCGTGCAGAGCCTTAGGCGCTCAGGCCTGCGCGGAGCTCCCCTGGCCCATGGCGCCGAGCTCGGCCTCGTGTCCACCCTCCCCTCGGCTGAGGTCTGGGCGGGCGCAGGGGGCGCGAGGCACGGGAACAGACGTGATGACTCGGGTAAACTTGTCTCTCCTGTCCCCGCAGCCGCTGCAACGAGAACTGCAGGCCGGGACGGAGTGCAGGCTCGCGCGGCAAGTGGACGCCGAGGTGAGTGCGGCCGGGCCCGGCGGCGAGGTTTCCTCGCCCCACGCAGTCCCCCGGACCACTTCTGTTCCCTAGACACCCAGTGCCGGGGGCGCCTTCTCTGGCCGCTGTAGAGAGATGTCCTTGGGTCAGGGCTCTGTCGCAGGCTGGCCGCCCAGGCCCCGGACGGCGAATGGCCGGCGAAAGTGGGGGACCACCAGCCGGCCGCCCTGGGATGCCTGCGAGGAGGTGCCGACCGCGGGCTTGGCTCCCAAGGGAAACCTGGAAGACCACCTGGAGGTCACGCTCACGCCCCGTGGGGACTCTCAGCACGCGTCCTCGGTTTAAAATGATCTTATGGTTTTAAACTTCAGGTCGCCAAATGGATTCGTCTTAACCAGAAACGGAGAAAACGGACACGAAAGGCGAAGGAGGAGTTGTTTGAAAAGGTAGGAGCCATGGAAGATCCCCTGAGGGCTGACTAAAACAATAGAGTAGCATCTCAAAACTTTTGAAAGTGAAGTAAATAGTAGATTCCATTTACATGGTTCCTTCTATATATAGAGTAGTTGCAAATACCGTAATCATAAACATGATTATGCTTTCCTAAAGAACGGCCTGGGGTTTGCAGGCTTGTTAATGTTTCTTAGCTCACTAGGACTTAAGTGGATTCCATCCTTTTACAGGCCAGATATTGTTTATTATGGCACTGTTTAAAGCACTTTGGAAAACAAAAAAGGGCTGTGAATATATGCCACAGTGTTAGGTTTGGCCTACATTTGGTCGTGATAGGCATTATACTCACTCAGCACACCAAGGCTTTAAATTTAAAACCCTTACCTCAGAAACAAATGATGAAATAGATTACTTTTGGAACACTAGGAGGGATTTCATTTATTCTAAAGCAAATGAGAAATTTGTTTTCCTGAATTTAGAAAATCGCTAGACTGCTTTGCAGAAGTTTGTACTATCCTTTTCCCCCTGAAATGCTATGAAATTAACACTTGATTTGTCATTATAGCAAATATACAAAAAAAGGGGAAATGTTGCTTTTTGAGCGACTTTTCATGAAAAGAGAAGAATAATATTTTTTCAAATGTTAAAGCATACATAGTTTTTATTGCTGTTGCTAAATTACATTTTGCAGGTTTTGTGTGTTTTGTTTTGTTTTTTTAAAATTCTTGACGGCACCAAAGGATTAAAATAGCAGCATGCTGTTTTTCTGCTGCTGAAATGTGTGATGAATCACTCCTGACACTGAAGCCAAATTCTTCCTGATAGCCTTGCGGCCCTCCTGTGTGATGTGGCTCCTTCACTCCCAGGAAAGCTATGCCAGAGTCCCTGGTGTATTTAAAGAGACTGCTGCCTCGCAATATACTCTGCTTTCTCTGTGGAGGAAAATTGTATCCTGGTCTTCTGTTTTTAAAGAGAAAATAAAGTGATATATTTCACTTTAGTTAAACAGTAGTTGTTGTTTGTTCTTGTTGTTAGGTGCCGTCGTAGACGACTCATAGAAAGGTTATTTTGAAGACATTATTTTTCTGACCGTACTTCAGCATATTATTATTGGTTGTGTTTGTTTAAACTTTCATGCTCTAGATGTTTTTAAAATGTTGATGAGGTGATGAATAAGATTGTAAAATGTATAAAAAGAAATATATATGTTTAATTTTTTTCAAAATCCATCTTTTAAGAAAAAATATTACTCCAATCCCCAATACATCGTGTGTAGAAGGTAGAGAATCTGTTCCCTTTGTGGTTGACTTGGCGCTGTCACTGCCTTTATTCTGAACTGGAAGGAACAGCATATGTGACGCCCAGGTGCTGACCCTGAGCTGCTGAGAACAGGAAAAGGGAGTGTGGTCAAGAGGAGTTCACCTCTGCCAGTACAAGGAAAGACCCTTCTTCCCAAACTCTTTTTTTTTTTTTTTTTTTTGCTGTTGTATTAGAACTCATATGTACATCTGAGTTCCCTTAGAAAATTGGGTTACAGTTTTAAAGAAGACACAAAAATGAAATCACTCTGAAGCAGTGGTCAGAACTTCTTTTCAGAAACAAATCTTGATGGGTAATTCCAGGGTCTCCTTAGTAGTTAAGAGCTGTGCTGCAATCTCAAAGGCATCTTGTTTGAATCTTCCACCTGCTCCGTGGGAGAAAGATGGGCATTTTTCTCCTGTGTCATATACTGCCTCTGAAAACTTGCTGAAGCTATGGGTCAGTTCCCACTCAACAGCAACTACTCAGTGAATATTAATTATCAGTGTCTTCAGTCAGTATTGGATTACCTATTAAGCAAGGTAAGCAAGCATTCACTAGTGTTTGTTTACATTTTTTTCACAACATCAAAGATTTGAAATATTGTTGGCTCCTCTGTCCCAACCCCCTTACAGAATCAGAACTTGTTTTCAAATTTATAGTTTATGACAGGGACAAAGTTCCTGGTGAGGAAGATAAGTACGTGGTTACTTGTGCTCATTCACCCATCTGTAATGAACTGTTGAATGTGCTTATTGTTTACTTTTCATTTTAAAACCATGTCAGAGATGTGAAATTATTCACCACAGATTAATAAACTATACAAGTAAACTATATTTACTTAAGTGGCTTGTTGGTACTGCAGTCCTCAGTCTTTTCCTCCTGTCTCGATGTAAGCTGCGCCAGCTGAGCCTCCTCTCTCCTGCTTGGCATCTCCCATGCCTAGGAGAGAGTGACCTTGGGCTAGGTAAGGCATTCAGTGTTGTCAGGAGCAAGTTGGAAGAGAGTGAAACTTCAGCAGATGCTTGGTACGGCATTAGGACTCAGCTCTGAGAGGCACAGAGGATATCATAAGGTGGAGGTGCCTCTTAAGGGTTTATTCCAAAATATCCAGGGAGCCCTGCATGATAGTGTTCTAGCAGAAGCCAGATGTTGATATTTTGCTAAGCTTTGAACCTGTAACTAGGGAAGTCTAGGTAATTAACTGGAGGAGCCCTGGCGGCATAATGGGTTAAGGATGGGGTTGCCAGCAGCCTGAACCCACCTGCCTACCACCTCAAGAGAGAATGAAGCTGTCTGACCATCTGAGTATTTATAGCCTTGGGAACAAGGAGAGGCCCTTGGTCCTCTTGATAGGTCTGCAGTGCATTGGAATTGACTTGATGGTAGTGTGTTAGGTGGTTAATTTAATGTTTTTGTATGTTAAGAAATTTTTCTGTCTGTCATGCCACAAGCAAAAGTGAATTATTTCTTTCATATATCTATTTTTCTGCTATATTAATATAAGACATGACATTTTTTATTAATTTCTTTTATATCATTTTAAGATAAATGAGTTTTTGTCATTCCTGATATTTATTTTAAATCTAGACCTTGCCTCTGCCTACTTTATTTTCCTTCTTTATTCCTTGAACCCCTGCTGCCCTTATTCCACAACCCCATCCCCAGTCTGCCACTTCATGCTTGGCCCCAGAGACACCCTAGGTGACCTTACTTAGTTAACATATATGTTTAACTACACTGTGGTCATAACAAGGAATTCCAATGGCCATGCTCATAGGATGTGCACTGCTGGCTAAAAGTTTGCACCTCCAGTGGTTCAGATCCACCAGCTGCTCTCTGAGAGAAAAGCACACTGTCTCTTCCATTAAGATCTGTGTCCTCTTTGACCTGATGGCAGTGAGGGAGTGATAACATTCTTTCTCATATGGGAGGACTTTTACTGACTTGTGGAAAACCTTCTGACATGCCTGTGAATGGAAAACAGAAACAGTAAAAGGGAAAATGGGCAAGAATGTGATCTTAGGGGAGGTGCTTGTTTTCCTCCGTAAGAGGTCTTGAAAGTACATAAGTGCTAGGCACAGCCTGCTGTAACTGGAAATGGTTGAGTCAGTGAACTCAGAAGAGGAATCTAAACAACTAACCCTTCACTTGACTGTGAATTAAAATAACAAATAAGGAAATCAAGTGCACTAGATTAGCAACATATATGCCCCAGAGAAGTGGTGGGAAGGGCTCCCCTGGCCGTGTGTCCACACGAGTGGCCTGGCCCTGTGTCCTGACCATGTGGCATGTCTGTCCTGATCTCCCCACCTTCTGCTCTGTCTCATATGACCCTGGCCCCCTACCCCTGTGCTGTTGGTCTGCCTTCAGTCCTTGTATGCCTGCTCCCCTGCCCTGTGCCCCTGTGCTATTGGTCTGCCATCCATCCCTGTACACCTGTGCCCTGCACACTGCCCTGTACGGCTGTTCCCAGTCTCCTGCCCCTGTACTCTTGGTCTATTGTTAATGCCTGTACACTTGTCACCCGTGCACACTGCCCTGGTGCTGTTGCCTTCAGTCTCTGTATGCCTGTCCCTCTGCATGCTGCTCCTGAGTTGTTGGTCTGCCTTCAGTCATCTTATGGCTCTTCCCAGCCCTCTGCCCCTGTGCTGTTGGCCTGCCTTCAGCGCCTATATGCCAATTCCCCTGCATGCTGCGTCTGTGCTGTTGGTCTGCTGTCAGTCCCTGTATGACTGTCTTACAGCTTTCATTTCTCATTTTTTTTGGGTGCTGCACAAATCTCTCTTATGCATTGTCTCATATCTTCTCTGACAGTCATTTCCATTTTCTAAAGAACATTTATCTGTGTTCAGTGGAAGTTCATACAGTCAGGTTTAACAGTCACAGCAAGTATTGTTAAGCAACATTGATTATGTTTTCACAGTACAAAAGCATTCTCTTAAATTCCTTTCTTGATTTTTCACTTTAATACTTATTTCTGTTGTTATTTGATCTTCATGTTTTACACCCCCTTTCATGGGCAAAACAACTCTTAGACCATGTAAAAATTTTAGAACTCTCTCTCTTCTGATTCAGGTTCTATGTTCTTTTCTCTTAGTATTCTGCTATTCTCCCTTTTTCATTATGTCATGTTTCCTTAGTTCATATAATTTTTGCAGTAGGCAGCAAAGAGAATATGGACAGTTCCACAAAGAACAGTTAGGAAGGATGAATCAGGAAGCTATCTACATGGGAAGGTTGAACAGTGGTGATTGCAACAGGGAATTGAATTGTATCTTCTACAGTTATCTTAGATCTTATAAATGGCTGCTCGTTTGTTAAAATAATCAACATCTATTTTCCCCCTGCCTTTATTTTTGATTGATTAAAGATCAACACAAATTGTATATTACAGTGGAAAACAGAATTCTTTATGAAGAATAATGGGAACTTTTCTGTGTTCTAATACTACTGTCAGTATTCTAAGGAGTATATGAGATCACAAAATAATATATTTGCAGAATAAATTTGAAGAAAATACAGAAATGAGGTGTGATTTCTGAATATGGAGAAAATTCCAACTTTCATCTTCTTAGTAAGCATCTATCCTTCTTAATTTAGGTTATCAGTTAATTCAGATTTTCAGTTAGTATATATGATGTCAGAAGTCGTCTTTGGCAAACCTTCAAAACAAAATTGAATTACTAAAGTT